TACCAGGGTCACGTCACTTCCGCTGTCGTAACACGTAGAACATAGTGGTTTTTATACACATTCAGAGCCCTTTGGCGGAAAATTGGTTTCACTCACCTTTCATTTTGTTTTTAGAATGGGCTGAAAATTTCTGCTTGAACATTATTATTTGTGAGATTTATTAGAAATTCATTACAGTTGTACACACTTTGAAGATAAACTTTTACAAAATATTATATATATATACTATGGTCGATTTTGCTTTTCATACGCCACACGAATAAGGAAACGGTAGTTACTACGGTTTCGTTTAGTTAAACTTAAAGGGGAACAGTGTCTTCAGCGTAATTTCATATTTTGCGTTGACTTTTATGGACGTTTCAATTCGAGAACCAGTCATATTACAAATATAATTATGTCAGGGTATAGTGGACACGAAGGAAATGTTTATTATGAAAATTTTGGATGGGTTAATCAATTTCCTCCAAGTTCTGGTCCAGTTAGTTATGAGTATGACATGACGATTGGTGAACCTGGATTCGAAAGCGATTTTGGCTCAGAATCACAGTTTGGATCGTTTGATTACAGCAGTTCATCCCCTTCTGTGCCACCAAACGTTTCAGGAAATTTTGGGGGGTATATTCAGTATCATAATCCTTACATCAATCCTGCAGGGGGATTGTATGCTGGTAGTGGTAGTCTTCTGACTCCAGACACATACAGTGGAAATAACTTTGAAGATGAACCACCCTTGCTTGAGGAGTTAGGTATCAATTTTGACCATATAATGCAAAAAACGTTAGCAGTGTTGAATCCCATTAAAGAACCAGAGGCTTCGATTTTGCAGGAAACAGATCTAACAGGACCTCTTGTTTTTTGTATGGTATTTGGTGGATTTTTATTATTAAGTGGGAAAGTTCATTTTGGTTATGTATATGGAATTGGTGTGTTAGGATGTTTGGCAATGTATGCTCTTCTGAATATGATGAGTATATCAGGTATATCTGCTGGATGTACTGTTAGTGTTCTTGGTTACTGTTTGCTTCCAATGGTAATTTTATCAGGAGTGTCAATAATTTTTTCATTAAAAGGAATTTTTGGTATAGTTATAGCCATTATTGTTATATTTTGGTGTGCTTTGTCAGCTTCCAAGTTATTTGTAACAGCACTTTTAATGGACCATCAGCAACCTTTAATTGCATATCCATGTGCTCTATTATATGGAGTTTTTGCACTTTTAACCATTTTCTGAAAGGCGTTAAGTGACTTATTTACAAAAATGATAGAAATTAATAGGACCTGTATAGCTGTTTATCTTAGCATTTAAAAAGAAAATTGTGTAATCCAAGATGATATTGTTTTTTCTTACAGTTAAAAAGGAAGGAAATAATGGCTGCAATTTATTTTAACATTTAGACTGAGTTTTTTTCCTTTGAAATTTGGATATGACCCTACACTTCATGATCTAAAAAAAAACATTTGAAATTTACTAATATATAATTACCTTGATCATCTATGATGGTGTTTGATATACCTTTTCACTTAACTGGAATATTCTAGTCATATTCCACTGCTAATAGTCAGGTTAATGTAGCAGTTGGAAAGAATGTGGATTACAATAACTGGTTTTTTCAGGTTGCTTTGCACTGTGGTGACAGAGTTTTTAGTCAATCATAATAAATGTTTTAATTTGTAACACCTTCATTAAGAAAATGTTTATTTCACTCTATATTTCTTATGTTCCAGTATTACTGTCTATCATAATTTATTTACTGATTCTTACTGTTATGTACAACATCTGAAGCATCTTGTATGCCAGACGTTATGTAAAGTTTTATGTTACCTGAGGTTTTACTGTCACATTTCTAACAAAGAAAACAGTGCGAAATGAAAACCACAAGTCACGTGACTGAAACGACTAATTATATAATATATTTAATCATACCTGTCTTTGTTCATAAAGATATAACAAGGAACTAACGAGATTTAATTATACTAAGTGGAAACAGAGTTTCATAATCTCTTGTACTTGTGTAGTTTGATTTAGTATAGTAAATATTCATGCACTTTAACTGTTTCTTCTTAATATTCTGTTTTACAATTGTTTTGTTTCATCCTAATTAACTTCTTGTTTGCTTTTTTGGAAGGAAAAATGCTGTGAAAGATATAAAAGTTTAATTAGAGAAAATATTTTTTTTCCACAGACAGATTCTGTGGAACTGTTGTATTGATACTAACAATAACAAAATATGGGTTTGAAATAATAATAAAAATAAATGCATTTTAACCTTGGAATGTATATATATTTTGCAAAAGTAAGAAATATGTACATTTTTGATTAAAGGAACATAGTCTGCTTGAGTTGTATATAAATGCATTTATTTCATGGATGTGCAGATATTTAGCATATTTCACAAGACTAGTTAAAGTATATATATATATAACTTGTAACAAATGTTAAGTACATCTATGATTGTCCCCCAGTGGGACAGCTGTAAGTCTACAGATTTACAGCACTAAAATCAAAGGTTCGATTCCCCTCGGTGGACACAGCAGATACCCCAATGTGGCTCTGCTATGAAATCTCGCACTTGGGTGATGAAAGGAACATATGCTACACATATAGTTTTACATATTACACAGTTTTATGTAAATACAATTACTTGATTATGTGCAAAGATTTGGTTTATTTCATAAGATCAGTTAGTCAAGTTAAAATAAATGTACAGTATTTATTTAGATATTTGAAATGTTAATAATAAAATATCCTAAATAACATACTTTCCATCATTTTAAGAATGTACTTGATAGTGCTAAAGTTTTAATCATAAATAGAAATAAAAACTTGTGATGCATGTAGATCTCACTGAATGAATAAAATTCTTGAATTAGATTTTTTCTTGGCTTAATGCCATATAACAATGATGCATGCACTTTACTTAACGACAAGGGACAACAAAGATTAGGATCAAACATTTGGTCTTTCAAAGCTGCCTATGGAAACTAACCCCCAGGAAAAGGTAAGTAAATATTGAACTCATCCTTTAATCTTCAGGAAATTATTGATTTTTCTTTGAAACTCCTTTCAGATGCTGGCTCCTATTAGATGCACAAATAAATTACTTATGAGAAACCAATGCTTAAGTAAAAGATTATCATAGATACTCTCAGAGCAACAGATGGGCTGATTGGATGATTTTCAGACTAAGGGTGAACTATATGATAGTCATCCTGTTCAACAAAACATTTTTAACTGAACTCTGTTCCTTAAACTTAGTCTTCTCCTTCTATTGTCAGAATACAGCACAAGAAATTAGTGGCTTTTACTTTATCGATTCCCGAGATAATCTTGTAAACTTGTTGTAAATTCTAGCTTACTTTTTTTTCTCAAAAGTAACCCTCATCCAAAACCCATTCTAGTAAGCCCATATACTTTCTTAGATAAGGAGATCAAAACTGAATGAGTATGTTAAGTGAGGCATAACTAATGATTTGTATAAAGATTTATTACCCCTTTATATCTAGAAGTAACCCTAAAATGTTATCAGTTTTACTACTAGCAGTAGAGCATTTCCTCAGTGACTTAGTTAACTTTATTTATCATGTGCTAAGATCTTATTATGCACTCTTGCAATTAAATTGGTATCAATCTCATGATAGACACATGATTAAAATTAGGATAATTTAAATGCATTACTGTGCACTTTCTATAATTAAAGGTCAGTTAATCACCATGTATTTTGCATATTATCAATTAATCTAAGTAATTTTCTAGTACTTAAGTATCACCATTACAGCTATAAATACCAAAAGAGTTTCATGTCATTAGCAAATTTTCTAGTTATGCTTCTATCTAAAGCTGAGTGATTAGTGGATATTTGCTAATCAATTAATTGTTAGGCTCATTAGTTGATTACATTCAGTAGTTAAATACTCTCACATGAGAGTTGTATAGTTTGAATAACTGAAAATAGTAATAATCAGAAACACTTATTTTGATCTGTTGATTCTTTTGATTTATTATTATTATTTTCGATTATCAATTAAGTAGAACAACCTTGAATTAATTTAAAAAAAAAATTACAATGGCAATATCTTGATTACTTGGATAGTTTTAATAATTGAAAATAGTAATGATTAGAAACACCTATTTTGATTTCTTGAACATTTTTGAGATGTTAATCAATTATTTTAAGTTAAACTTATTTATACTCGTAAGTAATACATTAATCAAGGTAATCCCCCAGCTTTACCTCTGTCAAAATCAGTAATGCAAATAAGAAAAAGCAAAGACCCAAGCTTTGTTATTTGAGGCACCCCATCAGTAACAAAAGATATTTGGCTGGACTTCAGTAATAACCTTTTTGCCTTCACTCACTTGTCCACACTTTGAATCAATTAACTAATATTTTCAACAGTAATGTGATATTCTTTGTTAATCTTCTGTCTGGCACCTTATCAAAAGTCTTTTGAAAACCTGAGCACAGAAAGTTGCATTCTTTTCATCATCCAGATAACATGTAACATCCTCAAAAAATTAACAGTAAAAGCAAGATTTCTCCTCAGTGAAACCATATTTATCTACTTTTATAAATCATATGTCACTAAATGATTTATTAAAGTTTCCCTTTTTTAAACTAAAGTTTTTTTTTCCATGTCTGAATAATATCCAGAGTAACTACATCAAAAACAGAAATAATGTTAGCAATTCTGCAGTCTTCTGGCACTTGCCCATTTTCTGTTGACCTACGAAAAATGAAAGAGAGAGAGTACCCACCGACTGCTTTTAAAACCATGGCGAAAACATTGAAATTTGGAACCAAAATCTCATTATTGCTCGCCTTCCAGTAGCACAGCGGTATATCTATGGACTTACAACGCTAGAATCCGGGTTTTGATACCCGTGGTGGGCAGAGCACAGATAGCCCATTGTGTAGCTTTGTGTTTAATTACAAACAAACGTTATTGCTTATTTCTATATGTAAACCTAGTTAACCAATGTTCACTTTCACCCAGATGTTCCCCTGTCTCTATCCTGTCAACCATTTCAGTATTAGAAGTTAACAATATATCTAAAATAGCACTATTCCTAGTAGGTTCCTTGAAGTAGATGAACGAAACCATCTTGGACAATTTCTGAGAGTTTGTTTCCTTCGGATTTGGCCTCTCTGTGGCAGAGCAGTATTTCTGCAGACTTACAATACTAAAAAAGAGGTTTCAATACCTGTGGTGGGCAGAGCACAGATAGCCCATTGTGTAGCTTTATGTTTAACTACAAACAACCAAAACCTCATGATTTGACTTTTACACTTCCCAATCTCTGAAATTCAAATCACCCATAATTACAACCTCATTAACAGTTGAATTCTTTATCTCACTGTTGAGTTTTTCATTGGATTCATCTGGTGGTCTGTAAAAAATTTCAGCTAAGATCTAATTACATTCAACTTCATTCCTGTCCTCAACTTGAACAGGATGCAACTCACAGTATATATAAAGCCCCTCCTCCCCCATTTGAGTATGTTATCTCTATTAAGCAACCTATAACTCTTGTATTTCTAAGACATTCTTATCAAATTGTCTACATTTAAGGAGCAGTGGCATATTTAACGTTGGGGCAACACACTGACAGGCCTCTCATGTTGCGGGCCCCTAAAATAATGAGAAAAAGTTTATAAATTTCTCTACCTATAGCTGATCAGTATGGATGGGTCCTCTAAAAAACCTGCACCAAGTAATTTGAAGTGTTAAAAACGAGATTAAATAGGAGGTTTCAGTTATTCCCATTACATCAAAATCCTCCGCTTTGATTAGTGCTCTAAGGTCATTTCTTATACTTCTAGTATTACAATAATAATAGTTTAGCCTACCGTTAAAACTACTTATGTACTTTGTTCCTAAACTGTAATTCTCATTACATCTTATTTTTTCTTCATTATTCTGACCTTCACCACTGTCTAGTCCTAGCTTAAAGCAGCCCTTACAGTCAACAGCCTTTTCAAACAAGCAATGCCTACCATATTTAAATATAAACTATCCATTCCAAAAAGTTCTCTTTTCCCATTTAACTGATTCTACAAATTCAACAAGTTGATTTGCTCTTCTTTACTTATTAACTTAAGCCTAACATTAAGCCCTAGTGACCTGCTTATAATTTCATCTTTTAAGTCTTGGTAGTATCCCTGACAGAATTAAGTTATTATAGTCTTTTTCTTTAAATGCTTTTGTGAATACTTTGTACATATCAATTAATTTCTTCATCAAATGTTTTGAAGCTTTTGGTTGCTCGATATGTTGGCTGAACAGTGGATAGACCAATTCAGAGCACTTGAAGAGATCCTTAAGGGTCAAGAAGCCAAATACAGTAGCTGGTTCTTTATAGGGTTGTGTTGAGTGTTAGGTGTGATGAAAAAGTGGAATTAGTTGAATCAATCTCATGGTTTGACTCAAAAGGATGCAGATTCATTGAAATGAGCACCTAAATACATCATGATGGTGTGCTGCTCAACTTAGCACCAGAGAACCAGATGTTCAAGAAATAGCCTAACATTTGAGTGAGAAATACAGTTCCTAGTGGTTCTGATGTATTACCTTCTACTCAGTGCAAATATATACCAAATGTCCACAGGAACATGTAGAGTGGCTGCACTGTGAATTACTTAATATTATATAACTTTGTATAACAGCAGAGGGGTAAAGTGGTCATAGATGTGGAAAACAAAATGTGTGCAGAAAAACAATAACAGAACAAAAGTTCGAGTCTTGTAATTAGATTTGGCTCAAAACGAGATGAGGTACAGAACGTTTATGAGTTGAATTGAGCTTTTTGAATGTATAATAGGAATTATCATTGATGTAGGAATTTAAACTTAATTCTACAGTTCGGGTCTAGGAAGACCCTGAAGTAAAGAATGATGGGATGTTGTAGTTGAAAACCGAAAAAACATTAGCTTACTATTACCTGAAAATAGCATATATTTAGTAATATTTCTCAACTTGTTCATGCAGGTATGACGAATTTAGTTGTTATGGATAAAATCCTTGTAAACAGGAATTGATAGTCATGAACATGTTTGAATCATGCTCCAAAGTTACATCCCACATTGATCGTTCAAAAGAGCTTGCACTCTCCTATCTTAGATTCTAAAACACTTTTCCTTTGTAAAAACATGTTGGTATGAGCTAGGAGTTAATTCTCTTTGAATGATCACCTATATAAGTACTCTAAAATTGTAGTTACCACAACATGATGATATGGACACAGCTATATTTGTCTTCTTTGAGTGAAGAAGAGTTGTTCTGTTACTTCAAAAACCACAAAGAAGTATTTAGGACAAGAGAAGTCAGCCAGCTACTGCTGT